TGATTCTGCCCGTGCGACAGCCGCTTGAACAGCGACTTGGCCTGCTGCTTGTAAAAATCCAGTTCCTTCTCCTCTAATCCAGTGTCCATACCTTCGGCGAGTGGCAAGCCATCAGTGATCCGAGCTATAACTGTCAGCTTCACCATGCCTGTGATCCGGATCTGGCGCTCTTCCCGCAAGAACCCTAGTTTACCGCCATAAAGCTTTCACACCAATACGCCTCTCATTAAAATAAAATACAGATGAATTAAAATGGACTTAACTTAACTACTAGTTAAGCATTGTCTAGGTATATTCCAAATATTTAAACTTTGGTTTCTTCTTCAATGGTTCGCCGAATGCTGGATGAAGATCTTGAGGGAAGAGCTGCATCGATCAATCCTGGAACTAGAGAGATACCCGATACAATCACGATTCACTGCTTTGATCCGTCACTGTGGCAAATCCTTGGCTCTGGAAGAAGGCCGTCGCTTGCACAGGATTCTTGCGAGAGATGGCGCCGACCAAGAACCTTTCATGGGCAATCTGCTCGTCCAAATGTATGGCCAGTGCAGGGACCTCGCTCAATGCAAGCAAGCATTCGAGAAGATCAGGAAGAGGAATCTTTACTCTTGGAACATAATGGTCGCGGCATATGCCCAAAACGGGCATCTTGATCGCGCTGCGCGGCTCTTCGGGCTGATACCAGAGACGAACTTGGTGTTGTGGAACGCAATGATATCTGGGTATGCGCAAAACAAGTCGATAGATATAGCGAAGAATCTCTTTGAAAAAATGCCCGAGAGGGATGTTGCGTCTTGGAACTCGATGATTTCGGCATTTGCTCTACATGGGCAATGTAGCAACGCAGTGGCGCTTTTGCTGGAAATGGACTTGGAAGGGATCCATTGCAACAGGATCACACTCTTGAGCATTTTAGACGCTGTCGATCGCATCCATTTGAAGTTCCTCCACGCGGAGATTTGCAGCCGAGGACTTGACACCGAGGTGGTGATGGGTACGGCACTGATCAAAACGTACGGGAGGATGGAATCTCCGGATCTAGCGCGCAGTGCGTTTGATAGAATCTTGGAGCGTAACATCGTCAGCTGGAACACTCTCGTTGAGGCTTGTTGCTCGGATGAGATACTCCGTCGGATACCTCTATGGGATCTTGTGTCGTGGACTTTGGCGTTAACGGCATATGCCCGTGATGGGAATTTGCTGGATGCCATTCGCATCTTCATGGGCATGCCCGAGAGAAGCAGCGTGACGTGGAATGCCATGCTGGCGGGCTGCGTCCAGCATGGAGCTTTGGGCGAGGCCGATTGCCTGTTTGAGGTGATGCCCGCGAGAAATGTGGTGACGTGGACGACGATGATCTTTGGAGGGGATCACAGGAGGTCTTTGAGCTTGTTTCGAGGCATGGATTTGGAGGGTCTTCAGCCAACTAGGATCACGTTTTTGAGCCTCATCGATGGATTTGGATCGCCGCAAGCTTTGGACGCGTCGCGAATCGTCCACAAATGTGCCACGTACGAGGGTCTCGATCTGGACCACGAAGTTTTGTCCAGTCTCATCAAAATGTACGCTAGATGCGAGAGTCTAGTCGATGCGAAACTCTTGTTCCAGAATGAGATGAATCGATCAAGTTTGGTGTACAACTCCATGCTCTCTGCTCTCTCGGGAGGAGGAGAAGAAGCGCTTGTGTTCTTGCGAGAAATGGACTTGGAGGGCGTCAAAGTGGAGAAATCTTCTCTCATCAACACACTTGAGAGCTGCAAATCCATCGCCCAAGGCAAAATCCTCCACAGCAGCATTCCCAGCGAGCTCCTCCGATCGGACACGGCCCTGGGAACTTCCGTGCTCTACATGTACGGCCGACACGGGGACGTGATCACCGCCCGTACAATCTTCGAGGAACTCCACGAACGAACCCTGGTCGCCTGGACAGCGCTAATCTCAACTTACGCACAAAACGGACGTGGGAACACGGCCCTGGCGCTCTTTCGTCTCGCGGGATTGGATGGAATCCTCCCGGACACCGTCACCTTTGCAAAAATCCTCGTCGCATGCAGCCATGCAGGGCTCGTCACCCACGGCTGCCAATTTTTCAGCTCTTTCATGGGGGATTACAACCTGGTTCCATCGCTGGATCACTACAATTGCCTCATCGATCTCTTGTGTCGAAATGGGCGTTTGTTTGATGCCCAAGAAGTGGCCGCAAACATGCCATTCGAGCCAAACCTCGTGTCGTGGGTGACTTTGCTGGGCGGCTGCTCGATCCACAGCGATCCAGAGGGAGCATTTGGAGCAGCCCAGCGAGCGAACGGAGTGGACAGTCGCAGCACCGCTCCCTATTCCTTGCTCTCCAACCTTGTAAAGTCCCTGAAATGAAGAACCCTAAAAGAAAAACCCTCCCTCTCTATTGGGGCTAGGGTTTTGGAGTTTCTCCTTCCAAGATTTGCCATTCTTTGCGCCGCGCGCTGCCCAGCCGCAATGGATCGCGACCGACTCATGAAGATGGCCACCGCCGTGCGGACGGGAGGGAAGGGAACCGTGAGGAGGTAAAGATTTGGGATTAGATTGGAAGATTTTGGTGAGAATTCTGGCAATCGCAGGAAGAAGAAGGCAGTGCACAAGACCGCGACCACCGACGACAAGAGGTTGCAAAACACGCTCAAGAGATTGGGCGTCAACACCATCCCCGGCATTGAGGAGGTGAATATCTTCAAGGACGATACCGTCATTCACTTCGTCAATCCCAAAGGTAGGAATGGAAATCTCTGCGTGGACGAATGGTTTGATGGATTTCTTCTTCTATCTTTTCGCAGTTCAAGCTTCCATCGTTGCCAACACTTGGGTCGTGAGCGGAGCTTCATCCACCAAAAGTATGTCCATCTCTCCTTTTTTTCTTTGGTCTCTTCTTACTGGAACTTTTCTCTCTTTCTCCATTCCAGAGCTTCGAGATTTGCTACCAAGCATTGTAAACCAGCTGGGTACGTTTATCAAATCCTTCATTTTCGTTCGTTTTGAAAGAAACATTGGATCTTCATTCTTTTCTTCTTTTTCAGGCCCGGACAATCTCGCGAACTTGAAGAAGATTGCTCAGCAGTGGCAGACTAACTCCGGTGCCGACGACGATGATGTTCCCGACCTGGTTCCCGGAGAGAACTTCGAAGAGGCTGCTAAAAAGGAATGAGTGACAAGGAGCTAGCTAACGCTGCTTTGTTTCCTTTTTCTTACCCCACTCTAGCTTTTTGTAATTTGCGGTACCTTGTTTCTGGTTCTAGGCCGGAACAGCAACTTTGATCCCCAGTTTCTCCAGAATCATATCGTCGGTTGAGAAATCGGCTGCTTTACGAAACGTTCCCAGCCCGAAATCGAGGTTGTAGGAATCTGTGAGACCGTCTACCAGTCCATACTTGGGACTCCAGCCAAGATCATTCTTCGCTTTTTCGATCGAGGTAAAGAAATGCTGCAACAAGGCCGATGAGAAAACCGCATGAGACATGAGCTAGAAACTTTTACTTGATCGCGCAGCGGGAATGATTTCTTCTTTCCGAAGTCGAAGTCCTTCGGGTTGTAGTGGACCAGCTCCGGAGTGGGAAAGCCACCGGCCTGTAATTGTTTTGTTCGTTGCTTTTAATTCCAAGCAGCAAAGTCTGTTCATACCTTGGCACAAGCTCGAGCAATGCCAGCAAACGTTACATACTTCGCTCCCGAGATATTGTAGACTTGACCAAACGCTGTTGGATTGTCCAGAACGCGGACAAATGCGTCAGCCAGATCCTGCAATCGTAGACGTGAGTAACGAATAAAGCAGCCGCAAAACCAAGCACCTTGACGTGACCAAGTTGCGTGATTTGAAGGCCGGAGTTTGGAATAGGAATTGGCCTGCCAGCTTTGAGGCGATGGAAGAACCATTCTTCCACTGGATTGTAGTTGAGAGGGCCGTAGATGTAAACTGGTCTGATGGAGGTCCAGGGCACTCCTTTGCTTTGCAGCAGTGCTTCAGTGTCAAGTTTTCCTTTGTGCCTGCTTTTCGGATCAGTAGCATCAACCTGCACAATGGATATCAGCAATCGTATGATCCTTCAACAAGCTTCACCTCAAAATGGGGAAGTAAGTCCGACTTTAAGTACACTCCAGCCGAAGAACAATAAATGTATCTGTTTCAAGACATCATCAGCCAAGAGAACTTTTTCGTTTCTTGAGAAGTTCACTGACTGCTTAAGGCTTGGAATTGCGTCGATAATGGGCTCAACTTCGACAGCCTCCCTCCCTGTCAATAGAAACTTCATATCGAGAGCACTTGTGATTTACTTTACCGTTTATGTCATAAACAATCTCGAAACCAGCACTGGCAATTTTGCTCTTCATTCCATCGAAGTCTTGACGATCTCCTTGAATGTGCTTTACCTAAAGACAGCAACTAAAAAGATAAAAACCAGCTGCAACTGGTGACAACGTACTTTAGAGGAGTATTCCGCGTATTCTTGGTCCGTTTCGCTGGCAATCTTTTGAGTGACTGGTGTTTTTCCACGAGTGAAGAGAGTCACCTGCAAAAAAACTGTGAACTTTCACCTTCTATGTTAAAATAGATTTTCAACCTCGTGTCCAGCTTTGACAAGCAACCTTGCCAGGTAAACTCCAATAAACCGAGTTCCTCCCATCATCAAGATTTTCTTCGCCGGAGTATCGCTGGAAGCTGTGGTAACAATGGACACTCGTCGGACTGCTTGAGTTCGAAGCCTCGTCCGATCTGTGGCCTGCATCTCAAAGCAGATTAGCGAGATAGAGCCGCTAAGAACAAGTTTTCAGAATCTACCTGCCGCACGACATTCTGAGTGAAATCCGAAGCTAGAAATTGGTCAGTTCTCGCATAAGAGAGGCTCCTGTTTTGACATGTTCTTGCTGTATCCTTTCGTGCCTGCATTAAACCATCAAACGATGCAGCGGATGCGCCATACCCTCTGATTGCAGAGGACGCAGCCATGACGAAGAGAGTGGAAAACAAAAGCCTCAAAGAACAATCCTCATATTTTGAATGTGCACCTCAAGAAAACAACGGGCTTGATGCATGCCACGTGTCAGAGAGCATTATGCGAGGTAGTTCTGTACAGAGTCATCAATCCGCTTTTGTTTAGGCAAAACCTTCTCTGATTTCTCCTGGAAAGGAAGCACGACGATTATAAACGTAACGAGAACAACCCGAGTATGACGTACCTTCAAGTTTTGGGCCATTGCAGTGACATCGGCTTTCGAGACCCCTGAAGACGTTCCAGCTCTTTCAGATTTCTTGGTTTCCTGAAACAAACCCGGTAAAAAGATACTCAGTGTTGTTGTGAAAACGCAAACGCACCTTTGGAGGAACAAACGACGAATCGCGTTTGCGTTTGTTCTCGGCCGCTTTTTCCAATTGCTGCTGCTTCTTTTCCTCAAACTTCTTCGCGGCCTTCGTCTCCGCGCTCAGGAAGTACTCTCCACTTTCTAGCTGCAAATCAATCTGCAGAACCTCCAATTGTTAGGCATCGTTATATGACTAAACGTGAAACAGCATACCTTGCTAGGTTGTTGTGGAGGCGGGAAAGGTGTGTACGGCTTCTTTTCCTTCTTCGACTTCTTCCGTTGTACGTTCTTCCTGCCATGAAGATGGCCCGTGAGAACTCGATGTTAACAACTGCGTATAACTTACTTTTTAAACTTCGGCAAGAATCTCTCCCAGTTCTCATTAGCTAGTGCCGGGTCCTTGGCAAGCTCCCTCTTGATCATGAGAGCTTTGATATGGTAAATAGGATGAATGTTATGAATGCAGTCTTCTACTACGCGGCGGAGAGTTTTGAGGCCTTGGAATGGACCCATTGCAGCAACCGTATTTCCCTGAAAGACATCTAAGACAGGAGCGATCGAAAACAACATTGCAGTACCTGAACTAGAATGTAGCATCCAGTTAAGAGCTCCAGTGCCTAGAGACAAAATGTGGTCACCAAAAACGAAACTTTCATAAGCAAACCTTTAAAGTTGCACCATTTGGGCCTAAAAGGCGCTGCCTACGCTTCACAAAGCGGTCCTGTTCATAACTCCTCAGTAAAATACCAGGAAACAAAAAAACTTACCTTGTTTCGAATAAGATTGCCGATCTTGATGATATCGCATTGCATATAGTCTTCCAGAATCTTCAAAGCCTGCGAAACAAACAAACAGATAAGAAAGAATCAAGCATAGAGAGAACTATCACCTGAGGAGCAGGAACACTGCGGGCGAGAAGCTTGATAAGGTCCCTGGCCTTGATGATAATGTAGGGGTCTTGAACTTTGCGTGTGGTGGTGACAGTCATTGATCCCTCTACCTGTGTCACAACCATAAAGATCTAGAACAAGAAGAAAACACTGCGGTACATACAAGATTAAGCTCCCCTTTGATGCCATGCTCCTTCAAAGCACGAGCCACAGAATGCCAAACATCCTGCAAATATTTCTCTGCGAAGCCGGCAACGATCGCATTGCTGGGACGCGAAATCACTAGAATGTACCTCTGTACTGCGGGAAGAGCGTCGAGAAGGAGCTCTGCTCGACGAGTCCACTCCACTGCTCCGGCTTGGGCACAATCTTCCAGTGATCCACATCGGGGGTGTCCCACGGCTTCGGCTTGTCGTGCTTGCCTTTCACCCTGACCCTGGCGCTCCCTTCTTCGCCATCGCCGTCGCCATCGCCGGCTCCAGCTCTCTTCCTCTTCCTCCCCATAGCCCTAGAAATATTTCGAAATTAGGGTTCTTGGGAAAAGAAGGAAGAAATGGCCAACGGCAATGTGTTCGTCTATGGGACGCTCCTGGCAGATGAAATTGTGCGCATCCTGATCAAGCGCGTTCCATCGAGCTGCGACGCTGTGCTCGCCGATTAGTAAGTCGCTCGATCGATCAAATTCCACTGCTGAATTCACGATTTCGTATTTTATCGCAGTCATCGATTCAGCGTGCGCAATCGCGTCTATCCCGGTGCTACTTACAGGAAAGGGGACAGAATCAAAGGAAAGGTATAGAGCTTCCGTGAATTCTTTTGATCCTTGACGGTAGAAATTGGTTTGAGAAGGTTCTACTCGATTTAACACACGAGGAGCTTCAAGTCATGGACGATTTCGAGGGAGAGGAATATAAGAGACTTACTGTGGAGCCTTGCTTACTGGTGATTCCTTTCCTTCTTTCGCTAGATCACATTATTTTCTTTGTTCTCGCAGGATCAAAGCATTACGCTCAAAGCTTTCGTGTATGTTTGGGTTGATCCGGAAGACAAGGATTTGTTTGGAAGCTGGGACTACGAGGTAAAACTCTTCCGGATTTTCGTTTCTTTTTTTCTTAGATCTTCCTTTCAGGAATGGAGATCGAATGATCTGGAGAGATACGAAGCAATGTGTGAGGAATATATGGACACGGGAATCAACGTTACTTGAGGTGAGAAGAACTCGCGCGGGATTTTTATTCGATCGAAGAAACAGGTTGTATACAAACGATGAATTCATTGTTTATAGTCGCTTAGAGGGAACTTTAGCGACCAGCTCTGGAAGCGCCTCGAAGAGATCCATAGCAAGACCATAATCCGCGACCTGACGAGAAAGAAAAACTCGAAACTTGGAAAACCAAGTCAGGGAAAGAACCTGAAAGATTGGAGCGTCTCGATCTTTGTTGATAGCAACGATAACTTTGGAGTCTTTGATTCCAGCGAGATGCTGTATAGCTCCTGAAATTCCTACGGCAATATAAAGCTCTGGCGCCACAATCTTTCCAGTCTGTCCAATCTACAAAATATTCTCAGGCATTAAAAACTTAGAGCAAGAATTCTTCAAGTCGATCACACCTGCATATCGTTCGGAACAAATCCAGCATCAACTGCGGCTCTCGATGCTCCCACTGCATATACATTACGAATGAAAACAGGACGAAACAAATATAAAAACTTAACCAGCGGCTCCAAGCTTGTCAGCAAGTTTCTCTAGCAACTCAAAGTTCTCTGCGCTTTTGAGTCCCCGGCCCCCAGAGATCACGATTTTTGCGGCACCCAGCTCTGGCCGCTCCGTTTGCTGCGAAGCCAAACCAATCCACTTCGACTTTCCAATCGCTTCTGGGAACCCATCACGTAAATTTCCTCTCTATCCTTCAGTTCTTAAAAGTTTCTTGAAAGCTTACCCGAAGAAAGAGACGAAGCATCGAAGTCGACGATGGAAGGATGGCCAACTCCGGTTAATGCGAGCCCGGGAACTGCTGGAAAGGATGTTGCTCTAATGCTTACAATGCATGGACCGGAGCCTTTAAACCTCACAGTAGCCATAGCATTTCCTGCATAGATTGGTCTTGTGAAGGAAGAAAAAGAAAGAACACAAAGAAAAAATCATCAAGCTCTAGCTTAAATCAACGAGAGAATACCTGATGTACGTGTGTTGATCGATCGTTCGCGTCACGTCTGTGATTGGAGAGACTCCCAACAGCGCTGCCGCTCGGGGCAACACATCCTTTCCAAACGACGAAGACGCAGCGAATATGTGAGAGTAATTTCCCTTCTTCTGTGCTTGGACAAGAAGCTCCGCCCATGGCTCCGCCAATGGCTGCCCCAGCAGCGGCGATCGAGCTACCAGAACCTGCTCTAACTCGATCGAATCGACCAAAACAAACGAATTTTTGCTAGAACCTGAGAGACTGCCGGATGAGCCGAGCTCGCGTGCTGGATCGCCGCGTCGAGCTCCGATCCCCCCGATCCAGCTAAGAGCAGCGTCACGGGCGAAGAATCGCCTAATACGGCCGCAGCGGCAGCAACGGCGCTGATCGATCCGTTCTTCACCGATCCTCCTCCGTGCTCCGCGACTACGAGCGCACTACTCGCCTGCGCTGGGATCAATCACACAAACCCTAGAAAATCCTTCCAGCGCTTACGAAATTCCTGGCGAGCTTAGAAAGAGGGCGCCATTTCCATTTCCATGATGAAGCCATTGCAAAAACACGAGTAATAGGTCCGGGGTTCGAATCAAAGAGGGTATGTTACAACCTAGACCGTCGGATCATTAGATTAGATGCATCTCGTGAAGTGCTGGCCGTTGATGTAGCCCCCAGCCATGGATCTCTTTACGTTGGCCTGGAATTGTCTGGGGTGATCTCGCAACACCTCGGCCGCTTCGTGATTTAGAGGATCGTCGGGATTGGGATCCTATAGCACCGAGAAAAAGGATCAAAACTTTTGCTAGAGATTTGGAAGTAGATCGCTTACTAGGAACAAGTATTGGAGGCCGTAGACAATGGAGTTTATGCTCAGCACGGGTTTCCAATCTTCTCTCAAGATGTTGAGGCAAACGTTTCCTTCCAAATCTATGTTCGGGTGATAAACCTGCGAGACAAGCTAGTAAACAATGAAAGGAAAAGAGCAAACTTACCTTTGTTTTGCATTTCACTTTGGGTGCCTCGTGTGGATATAAAGGAGAGATCTGGAAAGAGAAAACAAATGTTCCATCTCTGGAAGAACCAAAACGCATTACTTAGCTAGAAAAAAATCCAAACTTTCGCTGAGAACTGAGAGAACTCTTGCTTACTGGTAGTAGCCTTCATCGGGACAGATCGTGATCTCGAAATTCAGTAAATTGTCCTTTCCCATAGGAAATGTGATCGAAGTGGTCTTGGCCAGATTAAGCTCCGTGATATCTGAAGAACAAAGAAAGGAAGAAGCTCTCAGTCGATTAGTGGATCGAGTGGATTACCTTTCTGGACGCGCAGCTCTCCAGGGCTCTGCTTCTTGATCGGCGCTCTCCCATTCGCATTGTTCTGCGCAGCCTCCTGCTGCTTCTTCTTCACCGAGAAGAGATTGATCATGTTCCTGTAGCACCGACGCGCGAGAGAGAGATCGATCAAACCGAAAATGCAGCTCATCGATCGCACATACCTAGCTCGGATCGCGCACGCGGCGGAGCTCCAGCCCCCCAAAACACCGCCCTCGCCCCTGCCCTAGAGCTGGTTCTCCTTTTTAGGGTGCTAGAAAGAATCGTAGATCATCACGCAAAGCAAAATAAAAAATTCCGGCCAATGATGACGTGTCACCAATCGAATGATGACGTTTTATCGTTGCACGAGAAAGTTTCAGAGATGGGTGGATCCTGGAAGATATAGGTAGGAACCACGTTGAGACCAATAGTCAACGCTTTAGTTAGAACCCTAATTTTCGAGATTCGCGGAAGCTCGAGCTTAAAAGTCAGCACACAAAGACCAACCCCACACACAAGCATAATGTGTGTGGTCTTCTCATAGCTCCCGAGTTTAATAAAGCTTTCACGAAAGAAACTACGTATGAGCACGACACGACTGTATAGTATTGTCCACGCGTCAGCTTTGTGGCGCGCCAACTGTGAGGGTGTCTAGCGCGACACGTAACTTTATGTTGGAAAAAGCACACCCAGGGACGAACGAAGTATATAAAAGCGTTCAATGCCCCAAATGTGTAGAGAGGAGATCTCTTTCCTTGTCCTCTATTCTTCCTCATTTTTCTTGATTTCCTCACAGAAAAAAGGAAGTTTTTCCTTTCGTTCTATCGAGTGATCGATTTGGGCGACGAGCTATGGCGACGCAGCAGCAGCAGCGGGAGGACGAGATTGTTGGAATGGGCAACGATGGAGTTGTGGATGGATCGAGCATCAAGGCGCTGGTGGAAGACAAGACCGCATTTGCGAGGTTTGTGGACGGGAAGTTTAGTGCGCTGGATGCGAGCCACACGGGGGATCTCACGCCCCAGGAGCTCAAGCCCGCGGTTCTTGGGATCGGTGGAGCGCTTGGCCTCCCTCCACAGGGATCTTCTCCCGATACTGATCCCATCTACGATCAGGTTGGTCCTCCTAGCTAGAAAAGTTGGATGACATGGTGTTCCTGATCAAGAAAAACATTCTTGTAGGTGATGGAATCCTTCCTGGATGGACGAGCTAAGAAAGTTTCCAAGGAGAAGTTTGCGGTGGTCCTTCGTGAGATACTCCTGGGACTGGCGGATGGTCTGGAGCGAGAGCCGATCAACATCATGTCCCTGGATGGATCGAAGCTCCGGGAGTATGCCCGTCACCCCGACGCGGAGATCAGCGCTGTGAATGCTTTCGTGGAGAATGATCTTGAGAGCACTGGTAAAGTTAAAGCGTCGGTTCTCAGGGACGCTTTGAAACGGCTCTCGGTCGACCATGGAGCTCCACCGTACGGCGAGGTACATTCTTCCGAAAGTTTTTTCCTCCAGCCTCGATATTTGATCTTATTGAGTTGTCATAGTGTTCTTCTTTGAGGTTGTGTGAGCTTCCTCGGAGTGCTTAAACTCTTTTTCTTTCAGGCGAGTTTGCCCGTGGTGGACGCTGCTCTCTCGAGATCGGGAGTTAACGAGGACGCCCTCATCGATCAAAACGAGTATGTGGCGCTCTTCAAGAAAGTTTTGCTGGAGATGTCAACGATCATGTCCGAGAAGCCTCTCACTGTGGCTCACGTACGAAAGAAATTCGACGGCCAAAGTGTCAAAGCCTTCCTGAGCGACAAGAAAGCATCCAAGAAGGTAAAAGCACAAAATTCTCTCCATGTTACATCTGATAGGTTCGCGCTTCGCGCAACAGGTGATCTCCGAGGCCTGGAAAACGCTGCCAAAAGAAAAGAACGGCTCCATAAAAAAGGATGACTTCATCTTTGGCTTGGACTTCGTCTCACCTCGAGCTGGTTTGCCACCGCTTGGAGCAATCGAAGAGGTATGTGAATATACTTCTCGTGGGAGAAAGAGTTCCAACTCTGGAACAACTAAAAAACTTCTTCTCTGTAGATGGATTCCGAGATCATTGGAGCACTCAAAATGATGGACAATGGTGGAGCGGCCTCGCATAAAAACCACCATGAAAATTTGATAGACAGGGAAATGTTCGAGCAGTACCTGAGGCAAGTTCTCGGGAGTATGATGTTGCAACTGGAAGGGAAACCGATTGTGATCCAGAGCAGCGCCATCGTCAGCGGGGCCCAGGCAGGAAACCCCGCCGCCATTTTCTAGATCACAATCTTTTTGACTTGTACAGTACACTACTTCAGAATACATTACACTAAAGAATAACACTACCTGTGATCGAAATCCAAGCTCATCGCCAATGCTGCGGTCGAGATAGCTAGATTGTTACTGTGCTAGTAGTAGCGCAGCTTCCATCACCCGAGTCGTAAGATTGCAAACAATTGTCATGGTGGAGCTTGGTAATCCTCTCAATTGTCAATCAAAGACATGCTCGGAACTACTTTATAAATCTATCTAAACGAAAAAGAGGAAGAAGCAATTGTGCAAAACAGTCTCACCTAACCTCTCTCCCTACTCTCGCTCTAGTCTTGGCTTGAGTTCTAGCTGAACCTCAATCATAGAGCATTGTGAGCTTTTTTCTATCAACAAAATGCCATTGAACTTTCCATTTTCAAGAGTCAAATGGCAGGCAATTTGTTTGACTCGTAATTTGCTAAGTAATATTCTATTATTTTTATTATTAATGTTGGTTGTTGGTTGTTAACATTATTAATAAATATTATAAATTGAATATTTTAATAATTATATTTATTTTCTAATTGTAAGGTTTGTAAATACATGTCATGTATTACCCTGGCTTAATTGTATATTAATTGTTTATTTGGGATTGAATCTGGTCCATTTATTATTGTATATAAGCAAGGGTTTAAACCCTAATTAAAATATTTATTCCCATCCCGAACACTTACATTGGTGGAAATGAGGGGCATTGCAATTTGTCTCTGAAAGATAAAACATTTTGGCAATGCTTTGCTTTAGTGTTTAAGATTGTACTTTTTGTTTTTATTTCTTCATTTTCTTTTAGATCTAAATATATTTTAGCTTTTTGCAAGATTTAGAACTTTAACTATCACTGTGTTTAGATCTACTTTTTCTTTTAATCTTCATTGCATTCTCTTCTCCTACCATGCCACGCCATTATTGATCAAGGAAGATTGAACTTTTAGTGCTATGAGATGTGATCATGTAGTGTTGTGCCTATAACCTGAGACCCCTTTGATACCAAATGTAAGCTCTTGAATTTGGACTTCCTAGAAAATCACTCAGCCCAATACTATTCAAACCCAAGGATGTTTAACCCTAAATATCCCAAGACCATTAACCAATTGGAAAAGGAGGTGCACTTTTATTCATGGGCCCTTTCCTTTTATATTTGAACCCTTATGGATTGTCTTTCGAGTCGTTCTCTTTGGTTGCTTACAACATTCTCCGAGAACTGAATTGTATCATCCATAACTCACTAATCGATGTCACAATCATGTTAAATATTAATAAAAGATGGCAGAACACCAAGAACAGGACAAGCCATGTAATTATGTCTTACAAAAGTTAGAGATGGTAACACACCAAATCAACTCTATTGGTTAGCTAGTGTAGTGCATGTGATCATGGGATGAGATTTGGATATATTGTCATTATGGATCTTTGGAACTTTGGAGGATAAATAGGGATAAAATAGCCATTAAGGGCTCTCTCATCAAGTAATTGCCTCTTTTTTAGTTGGCTTAAGGGGAGAGAGACAGGGTGTATTACAGTTGGTATCGGAGCAAATGGCATGGGTTCGATTCCTATTGATTAGTGACTACTTAAAAATATAATATACCCTTGAACAAGGTATATTCCTACCCCTAAATTTGAAATTGTATGTATTAGGCATCCATATATATATCATTCCTTTTGTATGGAGTATTCCTACCCCTAAATTTGAAAATGTATATACATACATCCTTCCTTTTGTATGGAGTACTCCTACCCCTAAATTTGAAATTGTATATATTGGGCATCCATGCATTGTACGTATTAGGCATCCATGCGTATGTCCTTCCTTTTGTATGGAGTATTCCTCATCCATACGTATCCACGAACGAAAATATCTACTGTGGGACTGCAGTATGGATGGATAATTAGTTGCCTCACATGGAATATGTGATCTACACAATAGAAGGATTGGTATATTCAATGCGGAAATAGAGGTGTTAGTTCCCTTTGGCTCAGTAGGGGTTATTAGTCAATAGTCAATGAAGACATTGACATCTTTTAAGAGGGGGTGAGTGTAGTGCATGTGATCATGACATGAGATTTAAATATACTACCACCGTGAATCTTTGGAACCTTGGGGGATAAATGGGGATAAAATAGCCATTAAGAGCTCTCTCATCAAGCAATTGCCCCTTTTCAATTGGCTTAAGGGGAGAGAGATAGGGTGCGCTGCAGTTAGGGGAATTACATCACATATTGATTGACATTTGGCAAGGGTCCAGTATGCTCCGGCTGGGCTTGACCCGAAGGGTAGGGTGTCAAGAGGCAAGGCTCGAGAGAGAGTTGCGGCTCTCAGCTTCTGTTCATGAGAGCATGAACTTGCAGGGAAACGTAGTGGATTGTAAACAACCAAAGAGAACAACTCAAGAGATGATCTATAAGGGTTTAAATATAGAGGGAAAGGGCCCATGAATATGAATGCACCGTCCTTGGGATACTTGGGTTTGAATAATATTGGGCTGGGTGACCTCTTGGAAAGTCTAAATTCAGGAGCTTACAAATGTCTGACGATTAAATTTATGGGAAAATGTTGTGTATGAGCTCAAGTGAATTTTATATCATTTTGACGAGCTTGATTATTACAGAGATAGCTTTGTAGATGAAATGAAGGTTTCATAAGATAGGTGTTAATCCTTCAATCTGCCATTTAATCCTTTTTCCTTACCTCTTGATCTTTCTTAACCTTTTTTTATTTCTTGGTCTAAGCCATTTTCTCATATTTCTAATAGTTTTTCCTTATTTAGGGTGTTTTTTTTTCATAGCACATTGATCATTTGTCATTCTCATGATTCTCATTCTTAGTTTAATGTTGAGTTGAGTGTTTTATATCCTCTTTATACTAATTTGGATGTTGAGTATGTACATAGAGTTGAGAATCTTGTTTTTTTTCATTGGCAAAGTCTTTGATTATTTTTAATATTAAGTATTTCTTTATTCCAAGGGTTGAGTCACTTTGGCTAAAGTTTTGAATTGAGTATGTGTCCCTATTTGCTATTGAGAACTTTTGCCTTACCATTGCTGCTGAGAAGTTTATATATTTCTTTGAGAGTGTGGACGTTATTATTAATTTTCTCATCTCAAGTGTTGAATTGTGTATTGAGGAGGTTAAATGGTGTGAATTGTTTGTTTATATTGTGATGGTTGAAGTATTTTATGATAAGAAGTCCTCTATTTTCCAAACTTCGGTATATGTTTTTTTTTTTTTCCTATTTTTGCATTGCCAACTACTATAAATTATTCTTCCAATGCTTCTTTATCCAATTTTTCTTCTTCCATACTATTTCTTCCTCAATTTTTTTTACTTTCTTTTTTTTGCCCCAACATTTCAAAAAAAAATTTCTTTGAAGGAGGGGGTAGAGGGGATGGGCGAGAGTCCAACCCTAATGATGGAGTGAGGCGGAATATAAATAGTAGAGTGAGGACGGACGAAATAAGTCTGAATGGAGCTAATACTTCAAAAAAAAAAATTCTTCAAGGAGGGGATAAAAAGGATATGGAGGAAAAGTGGAGTGAGTTTGATCTCCTATATGTAATGATAGACAAAGACAAAGAAGCAAGTTTTACTTATGATCATAAGTCTAAATTAACAATGGTCTTGAAGGATTATTGGTGGGTAGATTTAAACATGGGATACATAATTTGTTGCAATGGCATTTCATGGACTACAATAGTTTTTGAACTCCTTTATTTTGGTTCAAAGTTATGATTTTAAAGTTGGTTCAAGTATTTGGTAGTTGCACACAAAATTACAACTAGTTCATCAAGATTTTGTAGTCGATTGATGCTTATACTATGGCTTTGGGTTTTGTTTTAGTCATGGTTATCAACAACTTTGTTGGTACTTTTGTGAGAGTTTCAGATTCTTGTGATAGTTTATCATCGCCTAGCAAAAGCTCTAGATGTTTCACTTGTCATCTTCCAAAGGGGAGGATGATATAAAGTTTATAAATGTGTATACACATGTATTACCTTAACTAGGTAATACACTAATTATAGTACTATCGTATATTGACCATCCAAAATCTGGTCTATCCATTATTGTATATAAACAAGGGTCTAAACCCCAATTAATATACCTATTCCCAATTATTGATCAATTGAATTATTTAATAATACTAAATAAAAATGACATTAATATTAAATAAACTAAGTGTTGTTGCATGCAAAGCACAACAAATTATTTGATTCAATTATATATTAATTAAGAAACTAGATAGATTCTAATTATAAATCAATCCTAATTCCTTAAAAGCAGTATTTAGAATATTCTTTAATTAATGAATCTTGCTATGTTATGGTTATGAAAAAGTGTTAAGAGCACTCTTCATGCCAGAAAAACTTTTGACAAACTAGAACACAACAGTGTTGTTTCATAAAGCATGATGGTTTTGCATAGTAATCTCTCAAACTCTAGTAAGTAAAAATATTGTGTAGTTCTTATTAAGATTGCTCTAGTTCTTTATTCAAAAGTTGTTTATGTAAAGAGTGCTCTCTAATGGCCATAAGGCAAAGAGCTGAAAAGTACAGACCAAAGTTTAAGTATAATTGTTAATCTTCCATTATACGGGAGTGAGATAAAACTAAAGCTTTAAAACTGTTCACACATGTTTATCAGTTGGATGAATTCTTAATAAACCAAATTGTTCTTGAAATTTACTGATGGATGGTAAACATGATCTATTTTGATTAAAGAAAATTTTAAGAGGAAAAATTAAGTTTATTTCTTACACTAAAAACCTCACACCTTTGTATCAGTTTTCTCTTTTTTAGTTTTTCTTTGGGTTACATGATTTAAATTTGGTTCAGGACTAGAGGGACCAAGAGTGGTCTAATGCCTCCAGTTGAGTGCTACATGACCCAAAAATATGTATATATTAACAGCAATGTCCTCACTGGTATTAAGGCATTAGTGCTAGCTCCCTATAGACTGCAGAGCATTCCTTCTATTACTATTTCCTACTCTCCCTCTCCTCCCTCCGAAACGTTGGATTGAATGCATCGATCGATCAAGATATGGCATAGAAGAATCTCGGCCTGATTC